CAAAATTATCGCAGTGGCCTGCGTGCACACAAGCCTGGTATATAAGTATACATACTCTCAAACACATAGGTCTGGTATATAAGTATATATACTGTCAAACACATAAGTCTGGTATATAAGTATATATACTGTCAAACACACAAGTCCGGTATAAGTCTGGTATATAAGTAAATATACTGTCAAACACATAAGTCTGGTATATAAGTATATATACTGTCAAACACATAAGTCTGGTATATAAGTATGTATACTGTCAAACACATAAGTCTGGTATATAAGTATATATACTGTCAAACACACAAGTCTGGTATATAAGTATATATACTGTCAAACACACAAGTCTGGTATATAAGTATATATACTGTCAAACAGATAAGTCTGGCATAAGTCTGGTATATACGTATATATACTGTCAAACACATAAGTCTGGTATAAGTCTGGTTTATATAAGTATGTATACTGTCAAACACATAAGTCTGGTATATAAGTATATAAACTGTCAGTCACACAAGTCTGGTATATAAGTATATATACTGTCAAACACATAAGTCTGGTATATACGTATATATATACTGTCAAACACACAAGTCTGGTATAAAAGTATGTATACTGTCAAAGACATACGAAACATGAAAGTATCGCGCCACACTCAGTATGAAGTAGATATTTCCAAAGGCGTCAATCCCACCGTTCGTCTCTGTGTCCCGTGTTTGCCTATCGCTAGGTCTCTTATTTTTATTGGTCCCTTCGTTACACTGTCATTGTGTCAGCACGGATGGAGGTCATTGTTTCCGTGTATAGCCTCCATAAAGAGGCTAATGCTACACATCTCCTTTCTAAAGGCATGGGGACTTGAGGCCGCAGGTCGGTGCTTCGTGTATAGCGACAGTCGTACTTCAAACGCGGCCATTATACGACGTAAGTGGTTTATCGGAGATGTGTTCACGCGTTGTGCATTAAATTTGGTGACGAGGACAGACAGGCAAATATCCGATGAGACTGATAAAACATATTTATAGTCTCTTATTTCGCACGACTGTGAATATATTTGGAGAATGTAACTACAAGTGTGAGGTGTGAGTGAGTGAGTGAGTGAGTGAGTGAGTGGAGTGGGAGGGGAGTGGGAGTTGAGTGGTGAGCAGGGCAGGGCAGGGCAGAGCATAGCAGAGCATAGCAGGGCAGGGCAGGGCAGGGCAGGGCAGGGCAGGGCAGGGCAGGGCAGGGCATGGCAGGGCAGAGCAGGGCAGGGCAGAGCAGGGCAGGGCAGGGCAGGGCAGGGCAGGGCAGGGCAGGACAGGGCAGGGCAGGGCAGGGCCGAGCAGGGCAGGGCAGGGCAGGGCAGGGCCGAGCAGGGCAGAGTAGAGCATGGCAGGGCAGAGCTGTGCAGGGCAGGGCAGGGCAGGGCAGGGCAGGGCAGGGCAGGGCAGGGCAGAGCAGGGCAGGGCAGGGCAGGGCAGGGCCGAGCAGGGCAGGGCAGGGCAGGGCAGGGCAGGGCAGGGCAGAGCCGAGCAGGGCAGGGCAGGACAGGGCAGGGCAGAGCAGGGCAGAGCTGGGCAGAGCAGGGCAGGGCAGGGCCGAGCCGAGCAGGGCAGGGCAGAGCCGAGCAGGGCAGGGTAGGACAGGGCAGGGCAGAGCAGGGCAGAGCTGGGCAGGGCAGAGCAGGGCAGGGCCGAGCAGGGCAGGGCAGGGCAGGGCAGGGCAGAGCAGGGCAGAGCAGGGCAGAGCTGGGCAGGGCAGAGCTGGGCAGGGCAGAGCAGGGCAGGGCCGAGCAGGGCAGAGCAGGGCAGGGCAGAGCAGGGCAGAGCTGGGCAGGGCAGGGCAGGACAGGGCAGGGCCGAGCAGGGCAGAGCTGGGCAGAGCAGGGCAGGGCAGGGCAGGGCAGGGCAGGGCAGGGCAGGGCAGGGCAGGACCATAACGGGACCTGATCGTTGATGTTTACCACGGTGGTGAAACCCAAGCACGGTCCTGACAGACCAATACTTATAATCGATCTATCAGCAGATCCTGGAACTCTTATGGGAGGTAACTCTGTAAAATAGTAATCATAAATGAACTAGTGTTGATACAAAAATAAGTCCATTGTATATTCACCAAAGGGATCCAATTTTCGAATGTTACTGATTTCAAAAGGAATTATTCATTATTATGCAACAGACATGTGGTAAACAGAGATATGTTTGAAGTATCAAGGTAGACGTTCAGTACCAGCGACACTGTTAACGTTCGGTATAAAGGAGATCCGTGTGTGTTTTTAAAACACGAAACTACGAGCAGCAGATCCTGCTAATAAAGGGACGCAACTCTGCAGGGATGAATTGAGAATACACTGTCAGAGATAATTCTGTACTTAAACTGCCATTGGGTAAGCATAGCTTTCTTCATAGGGCAGATTATTATTATTATTATTATTATAATTATTATTGTTATTGCACTCGTGAAGATCCGGGTTAGAATAGGTCTTCAGCAACCCACGCTTACTTATGCTTGTCGTAAGAGGCGACTAACGGGATCGGGTAGTCAGCCTCTCTGACTTGGTTGATGCATGTATATCGATGCTCATGATGTCAATCACTGCATTGTCTGGTTTAGACTCGATTAGTTACAGACAGCCGTCATATAGCTGGAAAATTGCTGAGTGCGGCGTTTAACAACAAATAAACAAATATTATTAATATTATGCTGCTTATGGCTGCTTTTTCTAGTCCGGACTGATGTCGATTTATAGTGCTAGCTCACTGAGATACCATGCCGCAGTTTTAACATGAATACCCCACTCAGACACAGTATACTGACTCCGGGCCGACCATTCCTTGTTTTAGCCCCTTAATGCCGAGCGCCAGACAGGGTAACAACAAGTACCATCTTTTAACGTCTTTTGGTATGACGCAGCCGGGGATCGAACCCCGGACCTTCCGCTCTCCGGGCGGACGCTCTACCACTAGAACACGGAGGCGGTTACTGCTAAAAGACAGAGGGTACGAGGTTTCCCTTCAAACGGAAAACGTGTATTCAATCACGCACAATACCACGCTACTCTGTCAGTGTGTACAAATTACACGTTACCGGGCTAAACCATAATACAAACTGACACACACACACAGAATCGTTTCCAATGATGTTGCCACTGGTTGTAACGTATCTTCCGTCCATCACATCGGCTCCAAGCGAGCTCCGAGACGCAAGGAGGTAGATAGTTGATGGACGTCTTCATGACCAACCTACAACTAAGGGTAGCATGAAATTGACGACGACTTGTCAGCTGATAACTATCAATCAAACGCCCAATCAGTTTCTTAATAGCCTCTCAGCCTCATCTACTACTCCCGGGAGTTTCAATGTTGAGGTTCATGACTCGGACATGTTTGAAAGGAGCGTGTATATGAGCAGCACACACTTGCCTAGCAGTTGAAACATTAATTTTAATCCGTGTTCTCTGTTTCCTGCTGGCGATGTTTTAAATGTATATCTGTGACCTGTGTTTGTTTGTGTTGTGTTAAATAAACGTCACTTGTTGGGTTTTCCTGAGATATGCTCCTTGTGCGTTGGTAGAAGGCGATTAATTAGGCCATTTTTAACTATCTGATGTGGGGTTTGACTGTGTAACAAAAAAAGCCCTCAGATCTATCACTGTCGAGGAGAATTAGGAAAATGAAAAAAAACAACAGCAATTTTGAAACAGGTAATAGTGAAGTTCTTCAGATGTAAACCTAGGACTTAATGCCTTCCTATGTGTGTCGGTACACGTGTACCTAATAAAGCTAGCAATTCGAATTATTTTGGACTTACTTTGCAATGTCACTGGTGTTACTACCCCTTCCCAGGTACATTTAAAGTCTTTTGTAATTCTACGTTTTTATTACGGCAACTTCTACATATACTACTCCCTCAACGATTTCTACTGATACTATTCCCTCAACGACTTCTACTGACACTATTCCCTCAACGACTTCTCCTGATACCACTCCTTCAACAACTTCTACTGATACTACTCCCTCAACGACTTCTACTGATACCACTCCCTCAACGACTACTACTTCGACTAATACTTTCACTACTACTACTGCTACTTCTACTACTGCTGCTACTGCTACTGCTGCTACTACTACTACTACTACTACTACAGCTGCTGCTGCTGCTACTACTACTACTATTACAGCTGCTACTACTACTACTACTACTACTACTACTACGGTTACAGCTGCTACTGCTACTATGACTGCAGCTGCTACTACTAGTACTAGTTATTCTACTTATACTACTTCTACTACTACTGCAACTACTACTACTACTATTATTGCCACTACTACTTCTCAACTACTACTACTACTACTACTACTACTACTACTACTACTACTGCTACTCCTACTACTACATTACTACTTGTACTACTACCTCTAAGGGACCCATTCACCATTCAGAAGTTACGCGCCTTACCCGCGTCAGGATCCGGTAACCATGGGTTCGATCACAGATTTGTCCCGATCCTTGGTCAAGTAGCACCATAACGACTCTGGTGGGTCCACCTGAGCCCCCTGGCTCGTCCCACATCAAGATGACGTTCAAACGGCGTTATACCCATTTACTCCCCCCCCCCCCCCCCTCCCTCTCTCCTTCTACTGTTACTACTACAGATATTACTGGAGCGATGTCATTGTAAACAGTAAACAACTGATACAACCGCCCCCAAGATCATCACCCGTTCTACGATGGCTACTAAGCATCTACAAAGTCCCAATCAACTGGAAACCTGACGCTGTTCCCAATTAACAATGACGAGAAACGTACACATATTATATAATCCCGATCCTACAACCCGAGCTGACGATGCTTTCAATATACGGTAATGACATTCTATGTGCATTCCTACTGCACGGTAATATTTCGACGCAGCTTTCACGCCACAAAACCCCCGATCTTTGCAGATATTATGCATATGAACACATCTGCGACTGTTCGTTCCCCGGACCGCAACAAAATGCGCCCCAAATTCTTCGCTGTATAAACCACCCTCGATCAGGCGGTCAGGCTGTATGTTGTAGTCCTCCACTATAGGTCTCAGCAAAACATCGAGGTGGGATTTTCTTACTTACTCTATCGGATGAAAGCCGTTAACCACTAGATACACAAGTCGGCGTGTACCATGGTGTGAGGGAGTGTTTGGAACCGACGTCACGTTGATATAAAAACGTCTTGGTTATCGCACAAGGACACAATCAGCACGGGATTTGTATTGGTGATACAAAACAATTGAGTTTGTTTCGTGTGGGAAGGAGGATTCACATCCGGAGATTTCTTGTTCGGCTTTATCGGAACAACAACAACAACAACAACAACAACAACAACAACAAAATCAACCAACAGTCATGAAATTCTATAACTTGTGTTTTTGTGTCGCAGTTGTGTCATTGTGTTTAGTAGCCCACAGCTCCACGTCCGACGCGAATGGAACGATTTCTAACTCGACCATGGACTCGGAAGAGAAGTCGGACGATGATGATGTTGTTGTAGAGGCTGGGGAAGTGGTGACAGACACTGGGGACCTGACCCCCGAGGACGTGAGTGAACTGACCCCCGAGGACGAGGACATGGAGACGTTGAAGATCGAGGAGCTGGGAGGACTGATTGATGCCAAGGACATGGTGGACGATGAGGAGCAGACGATAGAGGACATGGAGGTCGAGGACATTCCAGAGGACAAGCAGGACCTCAGGTTCGAGCCCATTCCAATGCCTACGGACTTTGATAGCTATGACCGGAACGGGGATGGATTTATAGACATTACGGAACTGATTGAAGTGACGGGGGCGTTTGAGAACGTAGCGCAAGCATTCAAGGCCTGTGATAGTGATGGTAAGTTCCTTACTTGGCATTTTCGGTGATTGTCTTTCATGGTTTACTCATTTTTAATTCGTTCTTGAGTGAGTGAGTCTGGTTTTACGCCGCTTTTAGTAATATTCCAGCAATATCACGGCGTGGGACCCCAGAAATGTGCTTCACACATTGTACCCATGTCGGAAATCGAACCCGGGTCCTCGAGCGAACGCTTTAACCGCGAGGCTACCCTACCGCCCCTGTTTCGTTCTTGAATGCATGCAGACCGACAGAATGTACTGCACCATCAGACATACAGTAAACTACGGATATAACGAACACGCTTATAACGAACTGACGGATATAACGAAATTACTGTTTGGTCCCGACTACTTGCTGTAGTCATGCTGTATATGTACTTATAACAAACTACGGTGATAACGAACTTAAATTAGTAGTCCCTTTGAGTTCGTTATAACCGTAGTTTACTGTACTTAGACATTCGTGGCTCATTACGGGTGTGACTTTTTTAAATAGGCCTCTGTTCACCCAGCAGTAAAAATTGGTACCCGGTAGAATAAGATGGTAATGTGATTGTTAACATACTAGCGCCTGACAAGACAGCTTGGGTTGCATACTCCCTCGGGAGCTGAGAATGAAAATCGCTGATCCAGTGACTGGTAATGTTAGCGCTTTGAGCATGGCCCGCAATATAAGTACATATATTATCATTGTTATTATAACATAAGTATAAATTCACATTACGTGAGATTGTTGTAAATTGGGAGGACATTCCCTTGACGCAAGGGGAACACTGTATGTCCGTGCAATGCCGTGTCGGTAATAATCACTATTAGGTGTCTGTCAATCTCTGATCCATGTCGTTGGGCGGTCCGATAGCCTAGTGTGTGAAGCGTTCGCTCGTCACGCCGAAGACCCGGGTTCTATTCCCGGCATGGGTACAATGAGTGAAGCCCATTTCTGGTGTCCCCCGCCGTGATATTGCTGGAATATTGCTACAAGCAGCGTAAAACCAAACAATCCATGTCGTGATTGTGTTCAGCACAACAGAAGGTTCCGGATAATGTATCTGTGTAATGCGTTAAGACGTAGAATTCGCAAATGCATTTAAAAAAAAAAAATAAAAATAAAAAAAAAAAAAAAAAATTCAAATACACAACAATAATGTGCATAATCATAATGCTCATAATCTACACCCTAAAATATGTTCAAAGCACTAAATTATTATATGTGCAATTACAGTCCTTATAATGCTTACTCCAGATTTCATGTCAGTCATGCTTATTGATGACTCAGGCCTAAATACTTTGAATGCAAGATTGCACAAAGTGTGAAATACATAGGGCACTGGGTACAGTGTCTAGTCTACAGGATAACACTGGCGAACATGATGCGATAGTTACTGGGTATATGGGCCCTTCTGATAGTTTGTTATACATTCAAAATAAACACAAAACGTAAGGAAGAGAATGAATGAATATCAACTTCTTTATTATGAGGAACACGGTTCGGGGTATATGCTGACTCCTTCATCAGGTGATTAAACCCTCTGAAGTAGAGAGCGTATATATGTACCTGTAAGAACAACAAAAGTAATAAGATAACAAAGGTGGAAACTTAACAAGGGAAGCCAACAGGCGCCGATAGGTGTTAACAATGGACAATTGGAAGCCAACACTTAACAGTTAATTAGCGCTGATAGGTGACAGCGATGCCATTCAAAGACTGGATAGACAAAACGATACAAGTCTTCAAGTTGGTTAAGATTACAGCGGCAACACTGACGAGATTAGGAGTGTTTTGTTGTCCCCAGTGTCAATATCTAACTGCATGTACCCACATCGGGACAAACAGATAACTGCGAATCCTAGGCAACGGCTATGGTAGGGTTGCAGATAAAAGAACTTCAAAGATCAGATGACAAAACTAGCATTATTTCCCAACCAATGTTTACATTGCCTTGACGAACATATGTCTGTATACATAATTACTCCATGTGTGTTAGCATACAACTAGTGATATCTTAATAAATAGTCATTATCCTGGTATTAGAAGTGTATTAGGGATATGGTTTAACACCATTGCAGGGAGTTGACTCTGTTGTAATCTTCTAATCAGTCTGTTATAAACTGGCGTGTGTTGTCACAATCTGTTACGTTAGATAATGTGACAGTATGTTATGTTATATACTGAAATCTGTTATGTTATATACTGACAATCTGTTATGTTATATACTGTGAAAGCCTGTTAAGTTATATACTCTGACAATCTGTTACGTTATATACTCTGACAATCTGTTACGTTATATACTGTCACAGTCTGTTATGTTATATACTGTGAAAATTTGTTACTTTATATGCTGACAATCTGTTACGTTATATACTGTGACTATCTGTTATGTTATAAACTGTGGCAGTCTGTTATGTTATATACTATGACAACCTTTTACGTTAATGTGCTGCGTTTGGTTCGATATGCTTAGCTACTTTATAAACTGTCATGGGGCAATCTGTTACGGGGAGGCAATCTGTTACGGGGAGGCAATCTGTTATAGGGTCTGTCTGTTACGGGGAGGCAATCTGTTATGGGGTGCAATTTGTTCGTTGTAATGTATGTTACGGCACCGTGTTAATTTATACACCGTAGCAGTCCGTAACATTATACAAGGGGACAATCTGTTGTTCAATACTTCGCCGATGCATATAGCCGCAATGTAAGATAATACACACGCGTAATCTGAAGTTCACATGCCTCGTCAAGATCGACCAGGTCGGTATTGCAGAAGCACGCGATATGACACTTTGTATATTTCTTCACACCATGCAGCCCAAGTGTAAACATTTCTTGCCACACTCTATTGTTTACGTCACAGCTTGACAACATTCCGGGATTTTTGCTATGCATACACTGCCTCGGAGCTGTGAAGGTGAGGGGTGGCGTCGTAGGCCCCTAGAATAGGGGGATTTCACATTTCACGGACGGTCTGTATAAAAGGATCTCTTTCTTTCCCCCCACAGATATATTTATGATTTTTTTGTGGCAATTGTATATAGACGGGGACATGGAAGCTAAGATATTGAGGCAGCTGTTTGGCGAGCGCTTCAACACTTGCATATTGTTTTTCTCAATCCCTCTTCTTGGTGGAACTCAAACACCAACATCAGAGGAAGTTATATCCGTTGTTTGGTACTGTGTTATGTTTCCATGACATCTCTTTGATAGTGTAGGGTGATAAAACATGCAACATGTGTGGGTGCTTCTGAGGGGTGAGGTGCTTCTGAGGGGTGAGGTGCTTCTGAGGGTGAGGTGCTTCTGAGGGTGAGGTGCTTCTGAGAGGTGAGGTGCTTCCGAGGGGTAGGGTGGTTCTGAGGGGTTGGGTGGTTCTGAGGGTGAGGTGCTTCTGAGGGGTGAGGTGGTTCTGAGGGGTAGGGTGCTTCTGAGGGGTGGGGTGGTTCTGAGGGTGAGGTACTTCTGAGGGGTGAGGTGCTTCTGAGGGGTGAGGTGCTTCTGAGGGGTAGGGTGGTTCTGAGGGGTGGGGTGGTTCTGAGGGTGAGGTGCTTCTTAGGGTGAGGTGCTTCTGAGGGGTGAGGTGGTTCTGAGGGGTGGGGTGGTTCTGAGGGGTGGGGTGGTTCTGAGGGGTGGGGTGCTTCTGAGAGGTGAGGTGGTTCTGAGGGGTGAGGTGCTTCTGAGGAGTGAGGTGGTTCTGAGGAGTGAGGTGCTTCTGAGGGGTGATGTGCTTCTGAGGAGTGAGGTGGTTCTGAGGGGTGAGGTGCTTCTGAGGAGTGAGGTGGTTCTGAGGGGTGAGGTGCTCCTGAGGGGTGAGGTGGTTCTGAGGGGTGAGGTGCTTCTGAGGGGTGAGGTGGTTCTGAGGGGTAAGGTGCTTTGGAGGGGTGAGGTGGTTCTGAGGAGTGAGGTGCTTTGGAGGGGTGAAGTGCGTCGGAGAGGTGAGGTGCTTCTGAGGGGTGAGGTGGTTCTGAGGGGTGAGGTGCTTCGGTTGGGTAAGGAGATTAACTCACAGAAATACACACACGCATGTACACACAAACGGTCAGTAAACACACACACTGACTGCAAATACACACACACACACACACACACAAGCACGCACGCACGCATAAAAGCACTATCAACAAATACACACACACGTACACACACTGGCTGCAATTACGCTCGCAAACACAGTCCGCAAATACACATGCACGCACACGCACGTACGCAACACACACAATCATTTTGAGCAATACACACGCCCACAATGAGGGAATCGGGTGTGTACGCACGTGTACAGTGAGAAATACACACAGACACACAGATGGAATGTCGCACGCAAACAGTGACGAAAACTGACAGCAGACCGATACCATTAAATAAAACACATGATTCCACTCCCTCTCACCCTAGCTAAGTCCAGAGCGCCTGACCCCTCTCCCCCGTGGTAAGTACAGAGTGCCTGACCCCTCTCCCCGTGCTAAGTCCAGAGCGCCTGACCCCTCTCCCCCGTGGTAAGTCCAGAGCGCCTGACTCCTCTCCCCCGTGGTAAGTACAGAGCGCCTGACCCCTCTCCCCCGTGGTAAGTACAGAGCGCCTGACCCCTCTCCCCCGTGGTAAGTACAGAGTGCCTGACCCCTCTCCCCGTGCTAAGTCCAGAGCGCCTGACTCCTCTCCCCCGTGGTAATTACAGAGCGCCTGACCCCTCTCCCCCGTGGTAAGTCCAGAGTGGCTGACCCCTCTCCCCCGTGGTAAGTACAGAGCGCCTGACCCCTCTCCCCCGTGGTAAGTACAGAGCGCCTGACCCCTCTCCCCCGTGGTAAGTACAGAGCGCCTGACCCCTCTCCCCATGCTAAGTCCAGAGCGCCTGACTCCTCTCCCTCGTGGTAAGTACAGAGCGCCTGACCCCCTCCCCCGTGCTAAGTTCAGAGCGCCTGACCCCCTCACCCGTGCTAAGTTCAGAGTGCCTGACCATCATCAGGTAACAACCCCACCCCTATGAATGTAGTCCCAGCCCACCAACAAACTGA